TTTTCTACAAACAAGGTAACTCTCCTTTTAATCAATTCCTTACTGCCTCACCATCCTTACAAGCTGCATTTCATCATGAGAAATTCTTCCAAAATATTGATGCTGAAGAGGTTCAATTGCTAGAAACCAATAAGAAAGTGAGTTATGTTTCAAAGAAGGTTGTGTCCAATATTAAAACATATTTTGGAACATCTACTGGAGCATCTAGGAAAGGGAAGAAGTATGTAACAAAGATGAAGTCCTTCAAGAAGAATCATGTTCAGATGCATGATTCAGACTCAGATGCTGAAGAAGATTGGATCAATTTCATTGACTCAGGAGGAAAGATTAGATAAATATTGTTTTCTTTATAAAAAATGTGTTTCTCTATGTTATTTTCCATTGCGTTTGTTTTGTTTCCACCAGCTTTGTGTTTTCTTTTTTGTTTCCTTAGTTTTTGTTTCAAGGTTGAGTGAGCGTTTGGTTTGTTTCTGTTTCTTTTACTCTATTTTTGTCAATTTTTGGCTAAAAAAGGGGAGGTAAACTTTAATGTGTGTTTGTGTGTCCTGATGTTATATCACATATCTTGACATGTTGATTAAACATTGTGTTTTCTAGTGTTGTCTAGTGGTGTTGCTTTTTGTATGCAACATTTTATGAGGATCATGATTGTCTGTCATGTGTGTCTTGTGTTTCTGCTTCTGCTGCTACTACTGATATGGTTGTGTGCAGGATGTCTTACAAGATATTCTAACGTCCCTCCTATTATTTTTTATGGATAACCTTGGTTACCTTATAGTAGTCTAGGACTCTAGTGCTCTGAGTTATGTGTGTTGCTTTTGCTGCATGTTCTTCTAATGTCAACCTTGGATAGTTCAAGGTTGAGTTCAAGGTTGGTTTTCTTGTGCTTAAGAAAATGTTTCTTCTTCTGATGATGATTTGGACTTCCCCTTGAGGGGAAGAATTGGTTCTTTATGACTGGGGGAGTAATCTTGGATAGATCTTAAACAACATGTTATCTCTGATACAATCTATTTTTGCACTTTGTACAAAACTTACTTGTTTTAACATGTAGCTTGTGTTTTAGTTTTTGTGATTTTATTCCTCTCTCCTGTTTAATTGTACTAAGGTTGTTTTAGCCAAAATTTTCTAAAGGAGGGAGATTGTTAGATCTATGGTTTTAGGATTGACATCAATTTTGCTAAAACATGGTTCATGACAGATGCTGAGCAAGATTTCATAACATCTTGATCAAACTGATACAACAAATTGTGAAGGTTGCATTTAAGACATATATTCTGACATATGTTGTGACATGCTAAACCAAAATATCAGTACAAGTTATTTTAAATTTTAACATATTTAATTTGATTTTGTGATATTTCTTTTTGATATATCTCAATAATTTTCGCAGGTCAAGAAGATTTAATCTGGAACAAGTGATCTAATCTCCAACTGTACATAAGTTTCTAAAATTGGTTGATAAGACAATTTAGGAAATTTGATGTTCTGTTCCAAGATTTAAGGTGATTTTTTCTGCATAATTGGTGCATCCCTCAGCTTGTGGATCAAGAAATATTTAGATGAAGATTTTGAAGCACATGGACTACTGAAGTGTATTTAAGGAGAAACCTAGAACTAATGTAATGTAACTTTTCACAATTGTAAAATTAGGGGAAGTCTAAAGTCTTAGGTTTTGAGAGTCTCTTGTGATTTTATAAGTCACCCATGTATCTTTAGATACAGTGTGGTAGACTGATTGTTACTTGATTGTTTATCAATTTATTATTCTCACTCATGAGCTTTTAAGCAAAGAGTTGGATATTGTTCTTGGTTGAAGCTTTTAAGCAAATATGAGTATTGTTTATTGAAAGTGTAATCTTCTAGTTTTGATTCTAGTCACTGCTTTGTGACTGTAGTTTATCACTGAGGTGTTTCGTAGGAAGTGAGAGGGGGGTCTCATATTTAGAAGGTTTCTAGGTAGAAGTTGCACAAGGTAGTGATTAGGCGATAAGTTGTAAACTGAGATTGTTTAGGCTCTGAACTAATATTGTCATTGTGAATTTCCTTCCTGGCTTGATAGCTTTTAGAGTAGGTGACGTTGCACTGAACTAGATTAACTATTGATTGTGTTGTAAGATTTTTGGATTGTCGAACCAGTTGTGATGCTAATTCTTTATGAAACTAATGTCATGAGGTTTATGTTGTTTGAAGATAGATTTGAAAGATGATTTTGCTGCGATGTTTTAAATTAAATATTGAATTATATAGCTATTATGAAAGTGTGTGTTCATGAAGAATATAATTGTGATTGTTGTAACTCGTGTTACGGAGCAAAATTATATTTATGTTATTTTATTATGAAGTGTGACACCCATGTGTGGTTATTTTTAATTAAATTATTCGTGAATAATATGTAGATTTTAAATGGGTGTTACATTCGAGGTCTGTCAACACTTAGTATTTTTCAACATTGACTATCAGCATTCTTTGTTCGTCTTTCTCAAATTAGAATTCTTAGGCTAATACCGAACAAATAGATCATAAATAAAAATAAAATATATTTAAATATAGTTGTTAAAATTTAAAAGAGGATTGATCATAACATTTCCCCTCGATTACCAGCATAATTGAGGGAATGCGTAAAATTTTTTTTAAAATAAAATGTGACGCGCATATAATTTTATCTTAAGATAAAAAATTTATCTTATAATGTATTAATTATTTTAGTGAGTCCAACACTATGAGCGTGTATCTTACATGCACATTCTTGCTTAGAAAAGTTAGTAGCAGAGCTGTATGAGATTTTGTTTTTATTTAAAAGATCTTTTCAAAAAATAATGAAAATAAATTTCATGAAAAAGTTAGAGATTTTGGATAAACTTTTGTCTTGAGAGCTATTTAAGTGAAACACTGAGATTTTTTTTAAGTTTAAAAATTGTGTGGGCTGAGATTGGACAGAAATTTAATGCTTAAATTGGTCACAAGTCACATTTACACAAAACAAACAAATCAATCACTTTTGAAATGAGGTCAAAAGATAAAAGAAAGAGAAGTGTAAGCTTAAAAGGAAAAGCAAAAAATCAACTAAAAGAAGGAGACATAAAAGTATGAGACTAAAATAGTATGCATGTCGTAATTGGGCAATGAATCAATCTGTTCTAGAGAGATGTGCCTAAGAAGAATTTCAATTAGTTGAAATAAGAAAAATTTGAAGGAGAATTTCTAATGTTTATGTGAGAAGATCATTTTCTAAAATATATTTCTAATCAATTACGGTAATTATTCACTAACTTCTTTATAATTTACTCTAACCTCAACGCTTGTTTTATTTATTTCATCCATAAATTTCTTTTATATGCATTGTTCTGTTTGGAAATAAAAAATAGTCGGTGATATGCTAGTTTCTAATACGACGGGAGTAAATAATGATTTAGGATGCTAGTTTCTTATTGGGTTTCACTGTAACGTCTAAATTATTGATTAAATGACAAGTAATACGCGTATAAGAATGAATATAATACTTAATATTTGGTGTGCAAAAAACTTTGTATATGGAGACGGTTAGAACCGTTCGTGGTCAGACGATGTAGAATGCAGATGACCATTCGATTTAGACAGACGGTGGGGAATTGTCTAAGGAAGTGACAGTCTCTTAACTGTAAACCACTTGATCTTCTAGATCCACTATTTGTGTCTATGGATTAGAGACCTTCTCGACTTTGGCCAAAGATCGACCCAAAATAATTGTCTCACAAAGAAATGCGGAGACTTGAGATTATCGGGTCACCCTTATCTTGACCGTACTATACTTCTAATGGAATCGTTACTTGTTGAAGCATAAAAGATTTGGTGAGTGGGAAAAGGTGATACTGCGAACATGCACGTTAAATGTCAATCTATTCACTCGCTTATGCACCTCACCCTAGACCCTTAAGATAAGACGTGTTTCTGTTATTTAGGGTGCTTAAATGCACTCGAATGTAGTTGCAATTTCGAGAAAAATCTATTTGTTGATTTTTCTGTGCCTGCCTTCCTTTAATTTAGACAAGAGATCTGCCTACTCATAAAAACGAATTCTAACCATTCTACTATACACACTCCTTAATAATATTTTCTCCGTCCATAATGAATGATTCATTTTGATTTTCAATGCATTTTTTTCAATTCTACCCTCTAATTGATTAAACTTTCATCATTTTCAATACATGATAAGGGGTACTATAGCAAAAATATTTTTTTTTCTCTCTTACTTTTTTACACTTTTCTTAATATGTGTGGAATGATAGACTTTATCACTCATTATGACATAGAGAGTAATATTTTTTCAAAAAAATTCCACTAACTCTTCTTTGTAGTTGATCTTCAAGCTTTAGGCATGATTATTATAGGCATTGTTGATGGTATATAAAATAATTATTATTAGCATGATACTAATTACTGATTCCTTAAGAAAAGAAAATTCTGTATAGAAACGGTCGTAAATCTTTATTTTTTAAAATAATTAATTACAGATTTTTTGTAAATTAAAAAATAAAAATAATTATTTTCTCTCCTATATTATAGTATCCCACGATTCCAATTTAAAACAAATTAAAATTTAAATAAATTCAAAATAACAATATCTTATTAGTTGTTTTTAAAAAAAAAGTTTATGTTAGGTTTTAATGCAAGTTCTTCTCCCTTATGAATTTCAAAATCAAAATATTTGGGAATCTTCCAACAACAAAAGCCTCCAATACTTTGTGTAACGATGACATAAGCATTTTGATTTCATAATAATATAGCCACAATTTACTTGCAATCAATTCAAGAGTAACCTTTAGAAACTAATTATTAAAAGATCCATAAACATTATTATTATATGTGGTTTCAACTGTTGGTTCTTTTCTAGTTCACAGTTTGAACAACTCTAGTTAATTAAGTAAAAAGCATGCATGTATATAAATGGTTCTTTACTATATAGACACACTACATGCAACTATTCAAGTACTTTAATAAACCATTTTTCCACCCTATCATCACCTGCATTCGAACGTAGAAAAAGGAAGTAAATAAAAAATATTTATACAGCAATGAGAAAAATAGTAGAAGATGAATATGAATGAATATTTCTTACACAAGCTGAAGAGCAGTTTGGTCTTGACGGGAATACTCATGCTGATCTGATCCAAGAAGATTTACGGGAAAGAAGTTTCTGTCATAGGTCTGTGAAGGTAAAGACTGATCACACATTGTTTCTGGCATCAAGTTTTGTTGCTGTTGTTGAGCTCTTTCATGTTCAGCTATCTGCAACATATTCAACAACTTTCTGTTATCGTTCTTTTTATACAGACGTAAAGAATGAATGTAACACATGTGAAGAGAATGAGAGTGACCTTTGCTCGTAGGTAGTTGTTATGGTTTTGCAGCTCAATTTCCTGCAGATTGTTATCAACAGATTTTGGCTTTTGAGTATTTGAATTAAACTAACAGAAATGTAACTATTGCATTGCTGTAGCGGTTTCATGCAGTTAAGTGCAGTAAGGAAAGGTAAATAACACATTATAGTAAAAGTGGAGTATAATATTTTCACTACCTGTGTTGTTGTTCAGGGAAGAAGAAGATGAAGCATACTATTTCACAAGCCATACCTTATAATAATTTTATTGATTTTGGAAGTGTCAGCATGTGGTGTGTAACTTGTTTTGTTTTATAAAAAGTTTATTTTGGAATTTGTGATGATGGTAATAGCATTTTCAATGGTGTAATTTATTTTTGGATTTTTGTGAGTCCCATTAAACCACATCATTCTAAAATATTTCATTTAATTTTTCACTTCGATGTAATTTTAAAAAACTAATATTAGGTCCTACAATTTTATTTTATAAATTAATATTTTATTTATATTGAATTTTTTTGTGTAAGCAAAATAATATAAACGGGAGAGCTAAGGGTTCTCCAACTTGTTTATACAACGAAACGGGATAATCCGACAAAAGAAAGAGATTACAAACCAATTGGAATTACGAAAGGAATAACAAAAGATTTTTGCTAAACTCGTAAAAACAACAATTGGGGTGAGTAATATCTCCTATAAACGACCATCTCCAAACCAATGTTTTGATGCTACATACTGTATTATTTAAATTCTACTTATCATTCCGGAAACAAATCTCACTCCGCAATAACCAAATGGCCCACAAAGTTGCAAGCCACACAACGCCCAATTTGCTCTCTTTAACCTTTTTTTTTTTACAAAAATGTACAATCCATAAAATTCAATAAGCACTCTTCCTCTAACTCAACCGACTTGTCCATCCAAAAAGTTATTTCCCTCAAAATAAACTTCACCACATTGCACTTGAAAAAAGAATGATCTCTATTTTCCAACTCATATCACATAATACACACTTTAAAGAGTCTATGGAAAAGACAATACATCTTTTCATCAAAAGATCCTTTGTTGAAAGTCTATTTACAAAAAGTCTCCACCCAAAAAAGCCTTAATCTTGAAGGGTACATCCATTTTCCACACCATACCCAAAACTTCATCAAACCTATTAAGAGGACCGAAAGGAATTCAAAAATTAGTATAATATTCATAGTAAGAAGATACCTAAAACTCACCATCCAGAGCCTTAGTCCAAACCACCTTATTCTTCTCGGCCGACTCCAAACCGTGCGCCAACAACCTATCTTGGAGGGATAAAAACACCGTGTGAAGGCTCAGGTCCAACCTCATCGCCCTATACAAACCACAATCCCCCAACACCATCTCTCGTCTCTCCAACCCCCTCATACAAGCAACCAACACCTTTTTCAAACAAGACTCCTCGAATAAAGCCGTAAATTCCTCCTTCAAAGACCTTTCCCCCAACCAACTAGCTTCCTAAAAAGGATTAGTAAAGCTTTTGCCAATGTTAAACCGAGAGTTCTACACAATAGGATCCAAATTAGAAACTAAACCAATCTTAATAATATCTTTCCAATATGATGAATAAGATAATGAAGCTTTGTTACTATCGCTACCACAAAACACCTTCATAAAAATGTCACCATACCGAGCTTTCAACAAGTTAAACCAAAAAGATCTTTGACCTTGAAGAATTATCCATCTCCACTTGTTAAGAAGGGCTAAATTAAAATCCTATATGTTTTTGATGCCTAACCCGCCCTTATGAAATGGAAGACACACATTCTTCCAACTCACCCAATGAATCTTTCGCTTTTCTTCCAATCCCACACACAAGAAGTTACCTTTAATTCTCTTGAAATCTTTGGCTACCTTCACCGGCATTTTGTATAAGGACATTGTAAAGATAATTAAAGAACAAATAACCAACTTCAAGAGAGTAATCCTACCACCAAGATTAAGAAACCGATTTTTCCAACCCGATAATCATTTCTTCATTTTATTCATAAGAGGTATCCAAGTTGAACATTTCCTCGGATTGGAACCTATCGTGATTCCAAGAAAAGAAAATTTACTATCTTCCACCTTACAAGAGAGAACAAAAGAAGCGGCTTTCATGAAATTGCTACTACAATTAATACCAATCAATTTGCTTTTGTGATAATTAATTTCCATTCCCGATACTAGCTCAAGGGCCCTTAAAACCGCCTTTACAACCCAAACATGTTTCCAACACCCTTTCCCTAATAACAACGTATCATCCACAAATTGAAGAATATCCATAAGACAATTCCCCTAAATATCAAAACCTCCATATTCAGCGATTTCTAAAGATTTCCTCACTAACCCCGTCAAACCTTCCGCTACCATAACAAAAAGAAAAGGCGAAAGAGGATCACCTTGCCTTAACCCTTTCTCAACTTGAAACTCCTTCGTCGGACTAACGTTAACTAACACATACATCTTACTTTGTAAAACTAAAAGCTCCATCCATCTTCTCCAAATCGTACCAAACCCCATCTTAACCAACATGGATTTTAGAAAGTTCTAATCCGCATTATCATATGCCTTTTCAAAGTCCATTTTATCATATGTCTTTTCAAAATCCACTTTAAATAGAAGACAATTCCTACCTTCCTTCTTAGCAAAGTCAACCAATTCATTAACCACTAAGACCCTATCTAGAAATTGTCTACTCGAAACAAAAGCACTTTGACAAGGAGAAATAATGAAATCTAAGACTATTTTTAATCTTCCTGCCAAAAGTTTTGCGATCACTTTATACATACAACCCACCAAACAAATTGGTCTATAATCGTCCAAAGACACCAGATTTGGAGATTTAGGAACCAAGGTCAAGAAAAAGGAAGTCACCACCTTTAACAACTCACCACCGGTGTGAAAGAAATTGAAGAAACGAATGAAATCATCTTTAAGAAAATACCAACACTTTTTGATGAACTTAAAAAAATACCCATCTGGTCCTGGACTTTTAGAGCTCCCACAATTTCAAATGGCTTCCTTAATCTCTTCCTCTTGAAAAGGACTTTCAAGCGACAAACTATCCTCCATACTAGTACTTTTAAAATCAATCCCTTCCAATGGCAATCTATCCTTCTCCCAGTCAATAAACTTGTTTGAAAAATGATTCTGAACCTCCTCCTTAATCTCTGAGACCGAATCCAACAATCCACCTTCCGTAACTATGAGTCCTATATGGTTATGACTTCTCCTTTCCTTCATCACCTTATGAAAGAAACCACTATTAGAATCACCTTCCTTAAGCCATTTAACTCTCGATTTTTGAACCAACATATTCTCTTTTATCCTAAAATTCATCCAAAAACGACTTGTCGCCTCCTTCCTCTTACTTAAAACTTCTGGGTACAAATCTTCTAACTCTAACTCCAATCTATCGTCTCCTAAATTCAAGTTCGTCACATTATCCTCCACATCTAGATCAATCTTCCTGAACACCACTTTATTCCACCACTTTAATCTTTATTTAAGAATTCTTAACTTTTCTTTTAAAACGAATTCGCCTATTCCTTTCACCCTAATCTCCTTCCACTCCTTCTCCACAAAAGGAATAAAAGAACTGAAAGAGAATCACTCATTATTGAACTTGAAAGGTTTGGGGCCCTAATTGACACTATCCAACATAATCCAAACGGGACAATGATCCAAAATGTCTCTAGACTCAATAAATTGTCCAACCACACCTCATCTATTCACTATCGCATCCTACAAAAGGAAATGATCAATTCTACTCATAGACTTCCCATCAGCACTATACCAAGAGAACTTCTTTCCTTTACAAGGAATGTCCACCAAACCAATTTTCTCAATAAATTCGGCAATAAGATTTGTTTCGGTGTTGTCCTCATACAACCTCCCCCATTTCCTTTCTCTATGGTTCTTGATTACATTGAAGTTACCTCCAATAATCCACTCCCCATCCCTAAACAACTCCTTTAACTCCAATAACCTACCCGATAACAATTTCTTTTCATTAATGTTGCAAGATGAATAAGCATTAACCAAATAATAAATATGATTCTTCCACAAGAATTTTATCCCCAAATATCCCTCACTTTTAAAGCTACACACCTTTTTCACCTTGCCTTTCTTCCACAATGTAATTATCCCTCCCGACACCTCCCTTGACATGGAATAAGAATAATCAATCTCCTCATTACTCCAAAAACTTTTTGCCCAAAAATCTTGCATACAAGATAACTTTATTTCTTGAATCATAAAAATTTACGCATCACTCTTTTTAATCAAAGAACCAAATTTTCTCCTTTTAAGAGCATTGTCTCCCCCTCTAGTATTCAAATAACCTATAATCATTTCAAAGTAGATGAATTCGCCTTCCCTGCTAACTTTATTTTCTTATCTGTAATCTCTAATTCCTCTATTCAATTGACATAGTTCTTCTTTCCTTCCAAATCCACCACTCCCAACGCCGCTATCGCCGTCCATAATTTACTTCCAACATTGTTATCCAAGAACTCCCGTTATTTCGTGTTATTTCTACAAATGTAAGAATTTTCAATTTGAATCCCATAAACTTCTGAATTTCTACTACAAGTATTATGAACCAGAACTGACAGATTTGGAGGTAAGGACTCAGTTTCCATGCCTTCCCTCAATACTGACAAAGATTTCGTATTCCCAATAGCCTTTATGTTATAAGAGACTCTCCCCTTCCTTATAAAATGATATTGTTTATCACAATCAATATTGCAATATAGGAAATTACTTTATTTGTGTTTAAGTTTATTCTTATTTTAAATCGATTGTGACTTGTATTATGTACTTTAAATATTAATTTAGAATTGTTTAAACAATTTTCAAGATTATTTATGAAAATGCTTCTTTCATTAAATACAATAAAATAACTAAAAATAAAAATTAATAAAAACTATAAATATAAGGAAGATAAATAATTATAACAATTTTAGATATTTTTTTATATATAATGTGTGAATAAAATTATTTTACACCGCAATTACCATAATTTGCAATGCAGTGACTGCATTGGCCGCAACTACATCTGTAACTATAACCGTACCTACAACCGCAACCGCAATTTAAAACCTAACATAGATAGAAGATGGGAATGTTGGATACTACAATCCTTTCTAGAATTAAGATGTAGACGAGGAAGAATAATATACTATAAACGCATATATGAGGAAGTAGAAGAAGATGCATCACGAAGACTAGATTACATAGAAAGGAATATGAAGGATACAAAATCTTCGAAAATGGAATATTAATACCAAGGAAATGGAATTGAAAGAAAGCATTAAGAAAGATATGAAACTTTTGTATAAAAAGAGAAATTAAAAAAGAGAAAGCAGGAATTAAGGGAGTGTCACAAGAAACAATGTCCAAATAAAGGAGAATGAATCTTAGAGGAAAAATTAGGAAATAAATTGAATGGAAGTAAAGGGAGGGATTGATGATTGATCAATGTCAAATATGGAAGCATTACACAATAATACAACAAACTTATTCAGAGTATCACTGTTGCATTTCAACATTCTGCATCAAAGGCTTATAAAAAAAAACATTATGCATCAAAGAGAATAATAGGAATGATCGAAAGAGGGAGACTTCAACTTAAAGTTCTTTCATGTATATGTTCTGAAAAAGTGAAGAATAAATCAAATAAAAGTATAGAATTTGAATGTTGGATGGTCACTTAGGTGGTCGATCAAAGAGAGATTTACAACGATATTTTCAAAGGTTAAATATGTTTTTGGTCATCATCAATATCTTATTTTTCACTTTTAATCCTTCAAAATTTTTTTTTCAAAGAATGATCCTCCTCAAAATTTTCATCCACACTTTTGGCCCTTCCTGTTAAAACCATCGTTAAATTGCAAGAGGGACCAAAATTATGGACGAAAAACTTTAGGAGAACTATTATTTGAAGAAATTTTTTTTTGAGGAGTAATCGAGAAGGTAACCTTAAAAAATCAAACAATATTCATAAAAGGAAAATATATATTGGATGAGATATTGTTAGAAAATTAGTTGTGGATGAATCTAAAAAAGATAGGAAAAAAACTAAAACCCACAATTTTTTGTGATATTGTTGATGCAAAGGAGGCAATAGTGAATAAGGTTTAGTAAGTGACAGGTGTTGTTCCTGTGCTGCTGGTTGAATAGGATACTGTTGTGGGGCCTGATGTGGGGGAACCTTTGGAATCCTGATTTTTTATTTGTTCGGGTTAGATTGAAGGCAATCAGTATGTTGGATCCAAGTCTGAGGGTCTGGGGGATTTCGATACCAACATTTTAAATATTGGGCCCAATCGACTCAAGGCCCTTTCGGCTGGAACTAAGCCAAAGACAGTTTCTATGGTGGAGTTACGTTCTCCTTGTCCTGTTTCACTGACTCATAAGGCTCAAACTGATATAGCAGGTTTTGTTCCATTTTCAATTAGGATGGCTGTTTCTAGGTGTTCTGAAACCAAATTGCAGAATTCCTCATTTTTGCAAAAGTCATTGGCGAGGAGTCAAAAATTTAAAGTAAATCAATCGTACTTCATGCCTCTCGGGCGTCCTTCTCGTGCAGGTAACAAAGTGGCTACGACTTCTTCTTCTCTGGGTCATAGTCAAAGCATTCAACCATCCTTACCATCGGATCGTTATTCAGGTGAATCAACAGCTGATGATATCTCAGACTCTTGTTAGGTGCAGGGAAATAAAAGGTTTTGGGCTAAAGAACAAGATGGAGTGGCTTCCAAGATTTGGTCAAAAGATACAACTTTGGGGGTTGATGGTAGTGCATCAAATGATATTCTGGTTGGTGCAATTAAATATTTAGAGAAAAAGGGACGCATAAGCTAAACTCTTAAAGGAGAATAAGGATGAAATTATTAGGGGTTCATCAAGATTATGCTTTCTAATAATATTCGAGGGAGTGGTACCTTAGCTATGAGGAAAGAGTTGAGTCAACTGATTATTAAGGAGGCTTTCGATGTTTTCCTTATTCAGGAGACTAAGGCTCATGTGGTTTATGAGAAGTTGGGGATGGAGTTGTGGGGTGGTTCTGAAGGGCAGGGAACTTTCAAAGGGGCTAGTGGAAGATCTGGAGGTTTATTGATTATGTGGAGAGAAGGTATGTTTTCGTTAAACTCCAGCTTTTCAGGTGAAGGGTTTGTGGGTGTCAATTTTATTTGGAAGGGTTATTACTTATATGTGGTGAACAATTATTCTCCGTGCTTCTTGCATAAGAAACGATTGCTGTGGGAGGAAATTTTAGCTTGTAAGGCCAAGTTTTCTAGGAGGAGTGGTGTATTACGGGGGATTTTAATACTGTTAAAAAAGATTGGGAGAGAAAAAGGCTCTTAGGTTTTTGTTAATCGGGAGGAGATGGACGAATTTTATGGGTTTATTGATAGGCTGAAGGTTGTTTATCCGCTGGTGGTTGGTAAGAAATTCTCTTGGTTTAGTTTAAATGGTAAATCTATGAGCGTATTGATAAATTTTTGATCTCCGAAGGGTTGCTAGAGGCTTGGCAGGTTGGAGGTCAAGTTGTGCTGGTTGGGGCCAAAACCGTTTAAATTTTTCAATGGTTGGACGAAGCATGACGATTTCCTTCCGTTTGTTGAGAAATGTTGGAAGGAGATGGTTGTTGTTGGTAACACTGCTTTTGTGCTTAAGGAGATATTAAAAATGTTACGTGGTCATTTAAGAAGATGAGATTTTTAGGTTTTTGGTCATCTTAATTTGGTTGAGGACGAGGCCGTCAAGGAACGTATGCTCTTGATTTTAAGGCCTCTTGTGATGGTTTGGTTGATGTCGAGGCTTTGGCAATCAAGAAGTCTCTTGCTTCCAAGAAAGTTTGGAGTTCTTTAACTAAGAAGGAGATTTTCCTTCGCCAAAAAGCGAGATATCGTTGGCTTAATGAAGGTGATTTTAATTCTAGATTATTTCACAAATTTATGAAGCAACAATTTAGAAGGAAATTGATATTGGGGATTAATTCACCAAACGGGTGTATTAAATATGTGAATGAGGTTTAAGAAGGGATTATGAATCATTTTGAGTATCAGTTTATAAAACCTTGGTTCAGTAGACTGAAGTTGCTTGGGGTGGAGTTTGGTAAGCTGTCGGAGGAGGGTAGTAACTCTTTAGAGATTCCTTTTTCTGAAGAGGAGATTAAGGAGGTTGTGCGGAGTTGTGATGGAGATAAGAGCCTGGGGCTAGATGGTTTTAATATGGAGTTTTATTAGGCGTGTTGTTCGGTGGTGAAGGTGGATGTTATTAACTTTGTTAATGAATTTCATTCGGCTGTATTTGTCCCTAAAATGTTCACTGCAACTTTTTTGGCTTTGATTCCCAAATTAGATAATCTGGTCTTTTTGGATGATTATAGGCCAATTTTCTTTGTTGATAGCTTATATAGAATCTTGTTGAAATTACTTTTGGAAAGATTGAAAGTGGTCTTCGGTAAACTCATCTCTCCTAGTCGATCAACTTTTATTTGTATTAGAAACATGTTGGATGAGGTCCTTGTGTTAAATGAGGTTATGGATTTTGCTAGAAGGAACAAAATGAGTTATTTGTTGTTGAAAGTGGATTTCGAGAAGGCATATGATTGTGTATCTTGGATTTTTCCTCGTTTCATGTTGGGTAGAATGGGTTTTTGTTTTAAATAAAGAGGGTGGATGAAAACTCTTGTTTTTGTAGTTCCTTTTCGATCCCTGTTAATGGGAGTCCTACCAATAATTTTTTGATTTCCGGAGGTCTTTGTCAGGGGATCCTCTTTCTCCCTTTCTTTTTCTATTGGTGGCAGAAGGCTTATTGGCTATGATGACTAAGGCGTCTAGTGTGGGTGAGTATGGTGGTTTTTGGGTTGGTAATGATTTGTATTTTGAAATTTTTCAGTTTGCTGATGATACAATGCTTTTAGGTGACAGTTCTTGGAGAAATCTTTGGAGTATCAAGGTCATTCTTCGGGGTTTCAAGTTGGTTTCGTGTCTCCATATCAATTTGTCTAAAAATATAATTATGGGAATTCATGTTCAGCTAGATTTTCTTCAAGCTGCCTCCATTTTTCCTTATTTTGAGATTGAGCTTCCCTTTTTTTATTTCTTGTTATTTCGGTGGGAGGAAAGAGGTGTGGAAGCCGGTTGTTTTGAAGATTAGAGGAAGAATTTCAATTTGAAAGAACAAGAACTTATCTACGGGAGAAAGAGTGGTTATATTAAATTATATCTTGACCAATATTTCGATTTATTACTTCTCCTTCTACAAAGCGCCAAAAGCCATTATTAAGGAAATTATTATGCTTCAGAGATTATTAATAAGTTAAATGATATCTTATACTTTGTTAATGTTGGATTGTGCATCCTCGTGCCTTTAATTAAGTTCCTTTGCTTATTAAAAAAAAAAAATTCTAACTTCTACCTGAGATAGATTCCTTTATTGTGGTATCAAAAAAGTATTATGTTTATTCTAAAAACAGCCAGCATCTCATATATAGATAGATTGAACCTTTGTACTCCCTTCATATAGATATATTATATTTTACTGTTAAAGAAAATAAAAATAGCAGAGATTATTATTACCCGCTTTTGCATGAACTCCACATCAGCAAACAACGTCTCATGCTGGAAAAAATTTCAAGAAATTAAGATACATCATATTTTATTTTATTTTTAGTAAAATCATGTTACTTTTTTTATACAACAAAACCAGATTTAATTGCAACTTTTAAGTATATATTAATTATATATATACCTTTCTTGATCTAACTCTGCTTAAACCTTTCTCCAATCTTCCCTCAAGATTCTTTAGTTCCTTCAAACTCAAAGATCCAAGAGCTTCACCAAGGATGTGTCTTCATGAAAATATTACTCATTCATAAATTATTCAATGAAAAAAAAAACTATTTAAATTATATATATAAAATGAATAAACTGACCTATTTAAATTCTGAATATCTCGAATTTGTCTTCTCAATTTTGATGATTCTTGCTGGTAAAACTAATATTGAAGTATTCTTTTAGTAATTTTGTGCTAATTAAAATATTATAAAACATCGAAGGTATTTTATACCGATAATACATACTCTTTTTTCTTATATTATAATTGAGGTATTATGTAAAAAAAATTTAATTACCTGAGTATTAGCTTCAGATACAGATTCTGCATTAGTAGAAGCAGCACATGCTTTTTTGTACCTTTCAATTGTTGCTCTAACACTGCAAATAATACACAACATAATGTAGAAATGAATAATCACAATAAACTATAGTGCTTAAAATAAATAATTAAAAATTAAACAAACAAGTGATTTTAATTTTTAAGAACCAAAATTAAATAGTTAACATTTTATTAACCTTTTATTAAAATTTTCTTTAAAAAAAATTACAACATTTTAGTTATAAAAACAAATTAAAACCTTATACTATATATAATTATTCTCATTAAAAAATAATTATTTAATTATTTTCCATTACAAAAATTAACCTTAGAATTTTTCTTAAAGAATGTTTAACCCTAAATTTGTAATTCTTAGTTCTCCCTGCTTAACTAGCTGAAGATCCAACAATGTCTCTCAACTATATATATATATATATATATATATATATATATATATATATATATATATATATATATATATATATATATATATATATATATATATATATATATATATATATATATATATATATATATAAGTGTCAGTTCCCTATTCAACATAGTGTAATAACTATAGCAATGAGAACCCTTTTTTCTTAATTAGTATAAAACCTCGATTACCACAAAACCCTTTAAAGATTTCTATAAATGATTTTAGTTTTGCTTCCAAAGAACTAAAGAAATTGTGTCAGCACAACACTGAAAATTAAACAAAGAAATGAATGTCATCAACTTCACTATGTCTCATTGGATCGTACTCTTTTTCATTATTAATTTCTTTTCACTACTTTTATCACCAAAAAATTTCTCACACAACACAAACTAGTTCAAACTCAACCTACGTTTCATTCTTTTGAATTGTAAAGAATGTAAAAGTAAAACCTTTCCAAGGAGTTGGTTCATATAAGGACGTTTATAATGTAAATGAAAACTTTCTTTTCTAATGAAATTTCAAAAATACATAATTGAGAGTAGGTAGAGAATTCACGTCAAGTGGTGAAGCTTTATTTCCATAAACATGAAAGAGATGAAAAAAGATGAGAAAGAGATGAATGCTTTTCTTTTAGCTATTATTAGAATCTGATAGCATGGTCTTACTTTTGGATTCAGAAGGTAAAAAATCGAACTATCAAGTAAGAATAATATGTAGTTTTATTTATTTTTATTTTTTGAAATTTATAGAAAATTATGTTGGAAATTTTATATACAATATAATGAAAGAAAATGGATGACCCCTCACAAGAATAAATATCATTATGTCTTGTTGTTCTTAGTTAAAAACTATGAAATCATATCTCACGTGAGCAATGAATTGTATTTACAAAATTTATTTTCTAAGAATACATACATGAATTAATTAATAAAAAAAATTATTCTTATTTTATTTTGATTATACATTTTTCCACAAAAATTAATTGGTTTTTTTAATCATATTTAAAAAAATATTCTTTAATACCCTAAAGTTTTGTTAGGTATAGATACTATCAACAAAATTAATTAAAAATTAAAAATTATTTTAAAATAATAATATTTTAAATATAACATGATTTTAAATAATTTAATAATGGAGTACTTTTCTTTAATAGCAAATTAATACATTATATAAAGGTGAAAACCATCAAAGTACATTTATAAATAATATGTACTTATCAATAAAACTTTAGGAATACCAAAGTGTTAAACTTATACACTAAGTGAATCAATTCAAGACATTTATTAAAATAAGAAAAGTAGCAAATTAATTGCATAATATTTTTAAAACCCTCTCTACCAAAATTTTGTTGTGGAAAACAATGAGTCATGGACATTTATAATACCCATGCGGGTTAGGAAACCCTAACTCCAATATGCTTCCTTGACCATATTGTCAAGTACAAAATTTATGAGGGTGGGGAACTTCATTTAGACTTTTATGAATCAAAATATAGCTCCATATAATTAGTCACAAATTATAATAAAACATTGTCTAAATTTGAAATCTTAGAAATCTTTGATCCTTGAAACCCTAATATAATTTTCCATTTCAACATTTTTTATATAAAAAATATTTGTAAATAATTAGAGGTTATGTAAGTTTCTGATATCAAACTTAAGACTTTCGACGATTTCAGTTAAAAACTCTTCTAATATCTCTTAATTCAACAACTGAATTATCTTTAGATTATAAACTTGTTTTACATCATCATCATCTTCTTGAATGAAAAATTAACATTTTATTTTAAAAAAACTTATTATTTAATTTATATGTATATGATTTTGGAATCTACAATATGAAAGTGATTAGGATGTGAGATGTGAAAATTTTGAAACCCTAAGAGTAATGATGGAAGTGAAGAGGGTCAATGAGTGCATGACAGCTTAAAGCTGGCAGATTTTTGTAAGTTTCATGGTTGATGACATGTGTAGGGAAAGAGAGAGAGAGAAAGAAAAAGGATTGAAAAAGGTTAATAGCATGGGAAAATATACACAAACAAGCTAAGATTTCTCTGACCTAGAAATCTTTCTAACCCTAATTAAAGCTGTTACTCTTGTTCTTCTATATTTTCTACATATTCTTTCATCATTTACTTCAGATCTGCAAACTTTTCAAAGTTCCAACAAAATAATATTTTCAAGAAAGAATAAAAGGACTAAGCATCATGAAGCATACAAAAGATCAAATAGAAACAACCACATAAAAACTCAAATAATTTTTTTTATAAAAAAACTACTATAATTAAGGATTAAAAGAAATGAAAATCTTTGTTTTGGAGATTTGAAATTGTTTAGAATCAAACCTGTTGTTAGCATACTCGTACAAGCGGCCACGAGTCGAGAAGACAACGAGAGCAACTTCAGCATCACAAAGAACGGATAATTCATAAGCTTTCTTTAGCAATCCGTTGCGGCGTTTGCAAAAGGTGACTTGTCTATTTGTAGTGTTCTCGATCCTCTTGATTTCAATCTTTCCTCTTCCTAATTTCTTTTGAGAAGATCCTTCTCCACCTTCATTTGGTAGCTCCATGTTTGGTAGCTAAGAGATTCAAATCAATTCACCGAAAAAATTAATTAATTCAATCATCAAATATCTATAATAATGAGATATGAAGAAAAAAAAATTAAGATCAAGAAGGACTAGAGAAAAGAAGAAGAAGAAGAAGGTATAATTAGTGTGTTATCTAGATTTTTTGTCATGCTATACTCACCATGAAAAGAGAGGAACAAAAAGGAAAATTTAGGGTTAGATTCGAAAGAAACAAGTTTTGGTTGGTTATACCTTAAGAATTTGCACTAGGTAGCTATTTGTAGTGGTTTGGTGTGAAGCTTCAAGTATGGAAAAATGGTAGCAAAATATGGAAAAGGGTTAGCCTAGAAGAGAGGTATTTATGGACTGAAATAGACCTTCCAACAATTCCACAACTCACACACTTAAAATTTTAACTTCTCGTGTAGGAGATTTAAAGAAGAAAAAAAAGAGAGAGAGAGAGAAAGAGAAGGTGACTTGATATTCACCTTTCAATCTCCATTAACCATTCATTTTAACTTTTTTATATATGTTTTTTTTCATGTATGGAAAAAAGGAAAGAGAGATGATATATAAAAGGGTCTTTATGAAAGTGACTTTGATAATGTGGGCAAGTTTTAAAAAAATTGTTAAAGCAAAAACCACAGCGACAAAACGATAATGTTATTTACCGTTTTTTTATGATAAAAATTATTTCAATGATAAATTTATATCGCGATGACCGCAATCAATATCGGAAGACCTATACTGATCATAATCGCAGAAGTCTTATGCGACCGTGACCGTTGAATGTGGAGTTTTTTTTTTTGAATTTCAATGAGAGGGACATGAACATAAAAGTTTGCACGCAAAATTCTTAAGTTATACAAATTTTTATGCCTCATAGAAAGTACGGCAGGAGGGAACCAAAAAGAAAAAGAAGCCATTTTGCATATTCTTGGATTTTGAAATATTTGGCTTTTTACTTCAAAGGATATATGTTCAGCTAATAGTTTTGTTTCCACCCTGAAACTCTACCCTACATCATTTTAATTTTTCTTATAAGGACTAGTAGTTTAAGCTACTGGTAAAATTTCAAACTTTGAGAGTTGAAAGTTTGTGAAGCAAGGAATCAAATTATCTCTCTTGCATTATTACAATTTTGATTATGGCAGAGTTTTTGTAGGGTTCCCATGTGAAGTCCTGATCATAATCTTTAATTTTACTTGTTACATTTAGCTAGTTTTGTAGTGAAATGGAAAAAGCAATGTGATATTTTCAGTTGCCTTTTTTGTAATTTGATTTTGATGGATGGTTAATATCTGAAGTTACCCTAGTTAATGATTTGAATAAGAGTGAGGGAGTTGTAATGTAAAATGTGTGAAATGAGATATCCTTCAACTAGTGACAGAAAATTATCTTCATGTTTTGTGGGATGATAATCCATATAGGGTACTACAATATCTATCTGTCACTTTTTTATTAATGAATAAGTTAATAAGGATAAAGTGAGTACAAGGCAACCCAATAGAAAAAAGTTCAGAACATAGTTCAAATGACCACAAGTTAAAAGAAAAAAAAACAATGGATTTAAGTGTAGGGATAATCTAACATTGACTATAAATAAGTTGAAAGGATATATAAGAGGAGTTTAAGTATAATCTATATGTTTAAATTTTTAAGATTTTGGATAGAGATGGTTGAGTTCAAACTGTGAGTGGTAGTCATACATGGACAAAGCTAAATCACTCTAAGAATATCTACACTTCAAAAATAAGTGAAAGAGTCCACCAAAGAATATACATGTAAGTACAAAGTAAATGTTCACTATTACAGAAAACACATTCGGTAATACAATATTAGCATGGCTATTTATCCATTGTAGTCATATCTTAATTTTTACGTGCATTTTTAATTTAATTTTTTTAAGAAACTATTCATCACGGTTATTTTAAAAAACTGTTGTCATATAATTTAGAAGACAAACTTCGAATCCCAGCCTCAATATTTTTCCAGTAACATTATATTTTATTAAAAATTGTTAAGATATAATAACAGTTGCTTCCATAACCGTGTTTATAATATCAAGCTTTCTTGAGTTCGAACCTCAGCTCCGTCAAATAATTTATTCCTTTAACATTAAGGCGCGTTTTTTTTTTAAAATAAAAAATAAAAGGGACGTCACTACAGTGGTTGACTCAACCGTTGTTAGATTGTTTAAAATTTCATTATTGTTCTGGTGTTTAACTATGATCAAAGATTTTACTGATAAATTAAAACAGCTTAATCGCCCTTTCTTTCATAAGATGCCCTAGGCGAACTAGCGAACCAGAGACGACATCGGTACTCTTCATCTTCAATCGCAAATCTTCAACATATTCATTCTTGTTCATTTAAATTGCAAATATTCAACATCTTCATTCTTGTTCTCGTCCTCATCTTCGAAGAATGACACTCTTCATCTTTAGTTTTCAATTCTTTTTCGTTCAATGTTGTATACTGTTCTTGATAGATATATATTATTTGTTAGTTGTTCTGTTTGTTCTCCCGAATACCTTTCTTATGTTTAATATTGTATATTGTTCTCAGTAGATATATATGTCCTTTGTTAGTTGTTCTGTTGGATATATAAGTGAACACAAATAAAATATTCATATGCTTAAGCTTTAGAGTTATAGTTTTTGGGTTAGATTTTAGTGTGTCACTCACATTATTATTTGTGTATAAATTTCAGAAGTTGTTATGGACTGTAATTGGATGAAAGCAGATATATTAGGCACGGTTTATGAGAATGGAGTTCATGAATTGCTTTAATAGGTTGATAAAAATCTTCCTGACAACAATGCTATCTTTTATTGTCCTTATGCTAAATGCTAGAATATCCATAAGGGTACAAAGGATGAAATATTTCATCACCTATGTGTTGTTGTTATATGTCAATCATATACAATATAGTTGTGGCATGGTGAAATGGATAATGAAGGAAGTCGGGCGTCATAAAGTCAAAGAGTGGATGAAGATGAATATATGGATTATCGACTATAGGATATGTTTCGTGATGTTCGAGAATCTTCTTTTAAGAATGCTCATATTTTTTATATTTTATGTAGTGATAAAGACACCCTTTATATAAGGGATGTACTAGTTTTACACGATTGTCTGCGGTGTTAAAGTTGTTTAATCTGAAGGGAAAAAAATGGATGATCAGATAAAAGTTTCACGAAATTACTTGATATGTTAAAGAAAATGTTATCAGAAGATAACAATTTGTCGGATCATTGTTATTAGGCCAAGAAGATATTGTGTCCAATGGGTTTGGAGTACATCAAAATACGTGCATGCCCTAATGATTGCATATTATACAGGAAAGAGTATGAAGACTTAAATCAATGTCCAAAATATGGTGTGTCGCGTTACAAGATGAATGCCAATAATGGTGATGACAATGACTATGACAATGTTAGTAGGAAGCATCCTCCTACTAAAGTGTTATGGTAATTTCCAATAATTTCACGACTTAAGAGACTTTTTGCTAATTCAAATGACGCAAATAATATGAGATGGCATGCAGATGAAAGAAAACATGATGGAAACATTCGCCATGTAGCTGATTCTTTGCAATGGAAGAAAATTGATATGTTTTTTCTGGATTAGGGAATTGATCCAAGAAACCTTAGGCTTGGGCTTGCCACTGATGGAATGAATCCATTTGGTAATCTTACCACTAATCATTCTTTGTGGTCTGTTCTTCTCACTATGTATAACCTATCTCATTGGTTCTGCTTGAAGCCCAAGTGTATTTTGTTAAGTATGATAATTTCTGGACTACGACAACTGATCGGAAAACTAACAACTGTACCATTTTGCCTTTTGTAGTAATAATAGGGAAATTCCATGAATGTCGATCTCAAGGATTGCGTACAAGTATAGATTTCAATTTATGGTTCAATTAAACAAAAAAACTTAAATTGGCGTTTTGTTTGGAAATTGTCACTTGATGATAAGTAAAAATAAGCAGAAATATAAATTGGATTTTTCACAGATATGAGGAACATGTTAGGGTAAAGTGTATAATTTTCCCTATAACAACCTTGAATCCTGATTTCTTCAACAAGTTGATAATGTTCAATTACCAGATCTTAAGTTTACTTTCCCTTAAACCCTTAGTGGGAAAATCTTTGAACATTCATCCTAAATCCTAGGTCCTTAGATATTTATGATAAACTCAAGCATTTTTATCAATAATTAACTGGTAACTATAGGATATCCCTAGTCCTAGGTGATATCTACTATAGTCTAATTATACAAAAACCTCAACAACCGCGGTACAACTAATTGGGAACTATAAATCAATCCCTGTTTGTCAGACAAAGAAGGCATTAAGAAACTTTTACAATTAAATTGAATAAGGAAAACAATTGTATTACTGAAATTGGGAATTTAAAGTCATTACACGATCAAATCAGGGACACCCCTAGCACTGGGGGCTTTAGCTACTCATATTGTTCAAAAGAATTTCAATAACATATAAGTTATACATTACAGATAACTGATGAAATTTGATCTTCAATTGCGTTCGCTCATAAAAAATCTTCATCCTCCAATGATCTCATATGTTTCTCTTTTCAATCGTCCAAATTCTCTTCTCATGAAAAAGTCCCCTAATTTATCGTGAAAACTCATCTAAATAGAAAACATTCACTTAAGTCGGCTGAAAATACCCAAAACACCCTTGCAGGCCAACTATTGAGCCAAATAACATAAAATCTTAAAATCAGCATCGCAACCTAACACAGGTCGTGTCAGACAACACGGGTGCCCGTGTTGCACCTCTAGAAATTTGTATTTTGTTTTTCTGGTATAAACCTCCTGACATGGGCCGTGTCAGCTGACACAGGTGCCTGTGTCATCCTGACACGACTTGTGTTAGGTGACACGAGTGGCCGTGTCAGGCCTCTTGTAGTAAGGTATTTTGACTTCCTCTAAAACTCTGAATATCGCACTTTTTCGCCCGATATATC